ATTTGTTTCAGAAAGATCCCCAAAAGCAACACTGAACAAATAATGATCTGGAAAAAAACTCCAGGTAGTTAGCAGGCTCCACATAAGCCAAGCTTCTCCCTAATTTAAATTTCGATACAGTCATATGACACGCAATGGAAACACAATCCAAGAAATAAGTTATTAGGCCATTTCATTCACATGTATCCTTATTCACACTTTCAGTTTCTCACACTAGAGAAACTATTTGGTATTTACACATATGTGTCCTATTTATTTCCCTTAAGAGGATGGCCTCAATATGCATCCATTTAGCTATAAATGTCTCTAGTTTCTCATTCTTTATGGTTGAGTAGTACTCCATTTTATTAAAAAAAAAAAAAAACCACATCTTCTTTATCCAGTTTCCAGTTAATAGGCACCTGAGCTGTTTCCAAACTTTCACTATTACAAACTGTGCCACTACAAACATGGGTGCACATATATTGCTGTGGCATGATTTTTTTAATTCTTTTGGGAAGATGCCCAGCAGGGGGATAGCTGGGTCAAATGGGACCTCTAAGCCTAATTCTTTGAGGTATCTCCACACTGATTTCCACAGTGGTTGCACCAGTCTGCACTCCCACCAACAATGGAGGAGGGTTCCTTTCTCTCCACACCCCTGCCAGCATTTGTTATTTGATGATTTCTTAATAACAGCCATTCTTTCTGGGGTGAGGTGGAATCTCAGCATTGTTTTCATCTGCATCTCTGGAATAACCAGTAATGTTGAACATTTTTTCATATATTTATTTGCTGCTTTTACTTCTTTGTCTGAGAAATGTGTGTTCATTTCAGATGCCCATTTTTGAATTGGGTCTTTGAATTTGGGGGGGGTCTGATTTTTTTCAGTTCTTTATATATTCTAGATAGTAGTCCTTTGTCTGAGGTATAATTGCTGAAAATTTTTACCCACATTGTAAGTTGTCTCTTAGCTCTGTTGGTGGTTTCTCTTGCAGTGCAGAAGCTTTTTAAAAAGATAAGATCCCAGCTGTTGATTCTTTGTACAAGTTCCCGTGCCACTGAGGTTTTGTTTATAAAATCTTTTCCTATACCAATGTCTTCAAGAGTTCTACCTAACTTATCTTCCAGCAAATTTAGTGTTTCTGTCTTAATATTTAAATCTTTAATCCACTTTGATCTTAATTTAGTGGGGTGTGGCAACTTTCATCTCTGAAGGGGACTAAGCTAGGAAGCCAGATTCTTGACCAAGGCCACCACATGCAAGGAGACCTGGTTTCCCATCCTTTGCTGGCATTCTGTCAGGCAGAAGTTCATGTTCACCTTCCAGGACTCAGCCTAAGCATGCGACTTATCCCTACTGTCTACTAATTTATGGACATTCTCAAAGATAGCTGGTTCGAGCATGGCTGAGTTTAAATTCTATGGGGGGGGGGGGCGTTCAGCTGTGTTGTTGTGATGGCAACCATCACATTATAAACCTGGGTACTCAAGGGGAAATGTTGGTCACATCTGGAAGGAAAAGCATACTTAACAGGAAAAGCTCAGCCTTTTACACTGGGCTGACTGATGGGGGAAGGACATGGGAATGGGTTAACAGGGTGGAGACAGAGAGCAAACACTTTAAATATCCTCCCCCGAGAGACAGAAAGGTTTAGGTTTCATCTCTGTAGAAATCCATCCTGAAGAGTTACTAAGCCTCTCCCCTCACCATCCTAGGAAATCCAAGTGCCTCAGTTCCCCCTCTGATGCCCTCCACAAATATCCTTTTCCTTCTTCACTATTCTGGCCATTTCTGTGAAGTGCCTGGGAAAACCCATGATTCAGTCAAAACTATCTGCTCAAAGACCTCCAAACTTTGCCTGTTGCAACACCCAGATTTGGGTCTTTGCTTGACCCAAGCTACTTTCTCTGCTTCTCTCTACCCTTTGCCTTCTGAATACAGAGAAGAGCTCTCCGCCTTCCTTACAGCACAGTTCTCTACCCCATTTGCACCCGCCATGCCACTGTGTGTACTTGAAGACCTCTCCCACTTCTTTTGCCTTCCCAGGCAAGAGCAGGTGCTGTGGACCAGGTCTGAGCTTCTGAAACACCTGGTTAGGGTGGCCATACCTGTGTGAGGGGATCCCCCTGCCTTCTGGCTGCACCTGGTGCACTCGAGGACAAGCACAATTACCTTGGATTCGAATGCTCGCCTCAGGTTCCTCTCCCTCGACACAGGTCACCACCAAGCCCCGCTGACCCTCTGGCTGCCTTGCTCTTTCCCATATGCTGCATGGCTGGTTTCTTATTTTTCAGGATGAAAAATGTCATCTGCCCACAAAGGCCTCCTTCCTGCTTTCCATTCCAAAAACCTCCAGTCATTCAAGTGGCATCACCCTGCTGTGGTGTGGCTATTGTCGTTGTGTCATGAAAACACCAATGTTTTCTTGTGCATTGTTGCATTATTCCCTTATTATCTCTGTTTCTTCTTGACAGTGCAAGACCCATAAGAGAAAGGAGCTTGTCTGTCCTGCTTACAACTTGCCCCTTGAAACAGCACCATCTGGCATCTATCTGGCATTATCAGTAAGTATCTGATGGTAAATCACTGAATACATATTCTAAGAAAATAGTTGTATCTTTTCTTCAGTTATTCCACTCTTCCATTTACAAGTAAGGAAATATCTTGTTTAATTCATTTTGTAAGACTTGGCTCCTTTGTCACTATTAATGATCACAACCAATGCAACAGCATTCACAGAGCTCTTGACCCAGACTTTTTATCCCTCTGCTCATCTAAGCCACCCTCTTCTAAAGAGAGGAACTAATTGATGAATTTTTCAGAGGCAAAAATGCAGCCAACTCTAGTTGTTTTTCAAAAGTCTTGCAGGTGTTCTTAGAGTATCTTTATAAGGTTCCATTCTGTGTCTTTATCCAATCTCCCAGGGATACTGTGAAGTAGGAATCACATGACAGAAAATGGAAGAGGGGCTCTGAGAGTTTATATTTTCAGATCACGTGTGTAGTGACATGCCTGCTTTCAAATCTGGGTCTTTAGATTTCATATCAACCATACGTGATTCCAGATCTTCTGACACTACTTTCCATGAGGTAGTGTCCCATCCAGGAACACCCTAGACCAGGAGCTGGGAGCTCTCTCCTAGGCTTACCCTTCACTAGCTCTGCGACCTTTAGCAATGCTCCATCTATAAATTAGGGTTGGCAAACACACACTGCCCACGCCAGCTTCCTGGGGGACACTGCTGAGCACACAGAGGACAACATAGCTCCCTCTGCTCTTCACTGCCGGCCCTGCTCACACATTTGCTTCATCTACTCTTGAATCTACTAAAGCAAGGGAGAAATCACAAGGAGAAACTCAGTAAAGTCACAAGTTTGGGAGGGCCAGAGGAGGGAGGTGGTGAGGTGGAGAAATCTCTCCAGGAAGAAAGGAGAGGTAAATAGCAACTGATGCCCAGGGCTACAGTTCAGATACAAAATGTTCCCCAAGGGCCCATGTGTCATTAAGGTTTTGTCCCCAGCCCACGCACCACGTGGTGGAGCCTTTGCAAGGTGGGACACAGTGAAAGGAAGTTAGGTCATTGAAGGTTGCCCTTAAAGGTGAGATTGGAACCTCAGCCCACCTTCTTCCCCCTTCTTTGCTTGCCAGTCACCATGAGGTATTTGGCCTCCTCCACCACACACTTCTGCCACAAAACATTGTGCCGTGACAGACCCAAAGCAACAGGGCCAAATGACCCTGGACTGAAACCTCTGCAGCTATGAGCCAAAATAAATCTCCCCTCCTTTTCAGTTGATTATCCCAGGTATTTTGTTACAGCAATGGAAAGCTGACTCACACACCAAGAAAAGTGGCCATTTGAAGCAAATATGAGGGTTTGGCAAGGCCTAGAAATATATTTTGCAGTGAGGAGAGCTGTTAAAGATGGCAGCTCCAGCCAGCACATTTCAGGAGGTTTAACACAATAAACCCAAAGGAAACAAACCAGCCCCACGGGGAACTGAGCTCATTGCTCTCCATCCCCGTGACTGACAGTTAACGCTCAATATGGCAAACTGCTGGAGGATATTCAGCAACTCCCACCCGTCTCTCGCTGAGGATTCAGATCTGACAGGTCAAATGAAACAAAATCATCCTTTACACCTCCCTGATCAAGTTTTCCAGAGAAACTGGTGAGAGAACAAAAACAAATCCCCAGAATAATCTTTCACAGAATCCTTCTCAAGACTGTAACTAAACTAAAACAAAAGCCAATAGAAAAGGAAGCTGAAAGTTTTTCTCATTTTAGTTGAATCAGAAGATTCATGTTATGACCTAGATAAGAGACTCTTATATATTTTTCTTTTGACTTAAAACACAACTAAAATAAGATTTTTTAAAAATCTCCTGTCATGAAGAAACTTGGACAAATCTAAATGTTATGCTATGATTTTTGAGAGATTTCACCTGAAGGAAGTGCCAAGCCTCTTAGAGGTCTGTCGGGTGCTCCATGAAAATACTTTCCATTACAAATAGACAGAACCTTTTTTTTTTCCTTTTATTTATACAAGGACTTCTTTGATTTTCTGCATGTGACATTTTGGAATGAAAACCTGGTGGCTGCATTAATTCAAAACAAAACATGACGTCTTATTTTTTTCTCTCCAGAAAATCCTAGTCAAAGTCCCTGTAAACAGACCTCCATGTGAGCTGCAGTCTGCCGAGCAGGGCCTAGCATTCCAATTTCTGTCACTTGATCTGATATGAGCTTAAGTCACTGATTAGAGCCAGTATTAACTGGAGCCTGAGATGACACTAAGCATCTGAGACAGGCTGAGGGGACAGTTTGATCAGTCATCTCAAGTCTGCAAGGAAAAGATGATTCCACTTGCCTGATTCCCCTGCTCTTCTCCCCTCCCCCACCTCAAATCAAACCACAGAATCAGACTTAAGAAAGGAGGAGGAACAAAAAGACAGAGGCAGGACTGGGCTTCTGCTTCTCCCTGCCCCAGGGAAAAGCCTGGGCTCCGCTTCTCCTTACCTGAAGGAGTAAGTCCCAGGTGCCTTGCAGACAACACCATCTGCAGCAAGTCACAAGTGAAATAGTTGCATCTTCTCCCTCAGCAAGCTGCCTGTCAGCAAATGCCATACCTGTATAGAAGAGATACACACATACTTTCGACTGTTACCCATGGGAGCGGACATGAGCCCTCATGAGGTCAAAGATGAGAAAATGGTGGTCTTGCCCAAGATTTCCTGTAGGAGAAGGCACAGTATTAGAATCTTCATTTTCCATTTTTGAGTCAGTGATCTCTCTTACCTCTCTGACTCTTTTGAATGAGTAACTACCCATAAGGTAAGCAAAATAAATACTGGACTCAATCTCTGTAGTCCAAAAGCTTCTAGTTCTTTTTGAACTTTATTCTTCTGATAATGGGAATCAAATTCAGGACCTTGCACTTGCCAGGCAGGTGCCGAGCCACTGAGCTACATCCCTGGTTTCTTTGGGGGAATATAAGATGTCACATAGCTTTGAGTTACCAGCTGTAATATCCAGGTATAATCTCTGTGATGTGAGCAAAGGGCAGTAAGTTTATCCACTCATTTTCACAATGGTCAGCTCTGCAGAGCTCTCCAGAATGCCCAGGCCAGAGAGATCAGCAGAACTCTGTGACAAGAACCATACGCTGAAATAGCAATGAAAATTCTTCTGCTATCATTATCACCTTAAAAAACTGACATTTTACATAACACTATTTAGCAGCCCCACTTCCAGTGATAATACTCTAAATACTTTAGAGCGGGTCGCTCAGGGCTATTTGAATGCCAATGTTTGTAGCAGTGTTATTCACAATAGTCAAAGGATAGAACCAACAAAAGGGTCCTCCAATAATGAGTGGACAAAGCAAAACACAGAGGAGAATATCATTCAGCCTTAGAAAGGTGAAAGATTCTGACACATGCCACAATGAGAGCGAAACTTGAGGCTATCACCCTAAGTGAAACAGGTCACAAAAAGACCAATACTATGTGAGTTCACTTGAGCTACTTAAAGCCATCAAACTCATAGAAATGGAAAGGAGGACTGCCGCTAGGGGGCAGCAGAGAGAATGGGGAGTTATTAGTTTAGTAGACAGAGTTTCCATTCTGCAGGATGATGAGTTCTAGAGAGGGATGGTGGTGGTGGATCCACAACAATATGAATGTATTTACTGCCACCGAACTGCAAGCTTAAAGTGGTTCAGATGGTAAATTCCGTGTTATACCTACTTTACAACAACTGAAAAATAGCGATAAAATTAACATTTTTGCAAATGAATACACTAGGTGTCCAAATGGATTTTTACTGGTGAAATTAATGAGTTTTAAGTAGCTGGACAAATATTAGAAATTGTCTTTCATGGGTGAAATTAAAGCTATTCTGGGCCTGTGGACTCCCTAAACTTGCTTAGAAGCACTTCCCAGCCTTACAGGAAGTGGGTGTAGCAGAGCACTGAGCCAGTACTTTGGGCAGCCAGGATAACACTCAGGGTCTGCTCCCCTCAGGGAAGGTGTCCTCAGGCTGCTTATTGCTAAGAAAAGCACAGAATCCAGACAAACAAGCTGCCACACACCTGTAATCCCAGCCACCCTGGAGGAGGAGGCTAGAGGGTGGCAAGTTCAAGACCAGCCTGAACTATAAAGCAAGACCCTGTCTCAAAAACAAACCATAAAAGGGGCTGGGGTGTAACTCATCAGTAGAACCCTTGCCCATCATGTACAAGGCCCTGAGTTCAACCCTCAATGGGGGAGGAGGGAGCAGACAGGAGAGAAAAGAAGAAGGGAGGGAGGGAGGGAAGAAAAAAAAGAATGAAAAAAGAAAAGAACGCAGTAAAATCTTACTTCAAGAGTTCCAGAACAAACTGTGCGTCGTGGCACACACCTATGAACTCAGCACTTGGGAGGCTGAGGCAGGAAGATCAAAGCCAGCCTGGGCTACACAGTGAGTTCAAGGCCAACCTGAACTAAATAGTGAGACTTCAGCTCAAATAACCCCCCCCCACCCCCAAAAAAGAGAACTGCTTGCATAAGTGAGCTGTACCTGCCGTGTTTGCCTAACTGTGCTCATGCAGCGGTGTCTGTCCACTGCGGCCTGGCAGAAGGGTATGAAGAAACACCCAGCACGTTCAAACATCCCGGGGGCTATTCACCAAAACTCAGCCCAAAAGTGCAGAGAGGCAGACTCGCTGTGAGGCTGATGATGTTTCCATTCGCTGGTGGCAACCTCTTCTGGGCTCTGTCTCTATCTTTCCAGCCACAGTTGAGCAGGTCCCTAACAGTCCTTGGCTAGAGCCATCTGAGTCCCAGTTCCTTTGCCCAGCTCCCACTGCTCTAGGGAGGAAGAATCCGGTCTTTCTGTGTGTTTTCCTCACTTCCTTCTTTGCACCCCAAGGACCACTTGGCCGCCCGCCCCCAGGGCAGGAGAGAGGACTAGGAAAGCATGCAGCCCACCTCCCCAGTTAGATCCTGAACACGGGGCCTGCTGGACCAGTTGTCCCCGCAGGAGGAGGCTGGGAACGGCGGGCGACTCCACCCAGAGGCGCCCAAAGGAAAAGGCTGAGGCAGGTGAGCTCCAGCCGCCTGAAATGACAGATTTGTCAGCCTCAGAACAAGGAGGTGAGTTGGTGAGTTTGAGGGGAACCCTGGCTGGACTTGAGGAGGCCACTGCTGTGCCTGGGTTAAAGGTAACGAACAGAGCTGCGACTGGGCCCCGCTAATGGCACAGAGAGCAGCAGAAACGTGAGCTCTGGAATCAGTCCTGAATTCAAATCCCTGCCTCATTCGTTAGGATCCGCACTGTTTCTAGGCCAAGCAACATTTCAGAATTTTGACTCCCTTTTTTAAGCAAGAGAAACGTTAAGTTACCTTCTCAGACGATTTCACATTTCACGTCTGTCGGGAAAGGGCGCGCCTGCGCACGGCGGTGGCAGGAGGAAGTTCTGGGGGTATAGCTCCCGGCTGGCGCAGTCTGTGTTGCTGGAAACCCAGCAGGTCGCTCTGGCCTGGGTTGGGATGGCAGAACAGACTGTTTTGCTCTTCCCAGTTGTTGCTCAACCCTTCCATTCGGCATTACTTCAGGGTATCACAAACCCAGAAGTTTTATGGGACCAGAAAAACAGCATTAAGTATTTTTAGGTGACAACTAAACCCCTGCGCTCTATTAGTAAATTGCTAGGTTGAACTTTGGAACCGCACGTGTGCCTCTGTCTGCAGCCAGGATCCCCCACCCGCGCGGCAGGCCAAGCCCTGCCCGAGCCCCGCAGCTCCGACTCGCAACCCAGTTTCGGGGTGGGCGTAGACTGTATACTAGAAATTCCTCCCGCGCTTCCCTTTCCTGTCGCTGTGTGAGCTTGGCAGCTGCAGTTCTGCAAACGGTGGCTGGGCCAGACTGAGACCACCCGAGACCGGGACCGGGGAGCCCACGGCCAGAGAGAGAAGCAGGCTGCTCCGGCCTCCCCGGCAGCCCTGGAAGGGGCTCAGAAGCCAGAGCAAAAGACTCCCACCGGGAGGCCGAGGCCGACTGCTTCCTGCGGCCTCTGAGATTACCTGGGGAAGGGGGAGCAGCGACGTGGGTTTGTGGGCCCAGGTTCCAGCCTCGCTGCTCTTTAGAGCTGTGTGGTTTCTAGTGGCCTTCTTACTGTCTCCGAGCCCCACACGGTCACAGAATGAGTGAACAGAAGGCAAGGATAATGTACCCTCAGATGCCAGGGACCAGTGGCTGGGATGCTCCTCACAGACACCCGATGGACATCCGGGTGAGTTATTACCCAGTGCTCCATGCTCTTCCGGAGGCGGAGCCTGGCTTTCCAGCTTCTTTCCCGGGCACACTCACAGGGAGCAAACCCGGAGAGCCCCGCAGTGTGAGCACCACCTTGCCCGCCAGGAAATCATGCGCCAGGAGCACAGTGTGGGGCTGGGACCTGGGAGGGGAGATCGAGGAAGCTGAGCAGGCCGAGGGGGGCGTGAAGGGTGCCTGGCTGGGTTTGGTTATAGTCACTCTGCAGCCTCCTGTCATCAGACCCTACGGGAACCGCAGAAACAAAAATAACAAATACTTCCATTTTAGCTCATCGAGCAATGGTTGCACAGCTAGCAAAGCCTGAGCAGAAATAATGATTCTCTTTCTCCTCTGCAGAAGGGCACTGTGCGCTGTTTGCCAGCCCCGCTGTGCCATGGCTGTCGCTGGCCTCTGCCGGACCCTGCCCTGCAGCAGCACAGCAGGGGCCCTTTTCTTCCTCCGCTGTCCACTCCTCCACCCCAGCCTCCAAAGGCCGGGCTGCCTCTCTTGGACCCGAAGTGGCTACAAGAATGAGAATCCACCTTGCTGGATTTGCACAGCCGCCCAGTTTCAAGGCCGTCTTCTTTTCTCTCCGGCTACTTCTCTGAAATAATTTGAAAATTGACTCCCTTTCCTTTTGCCTTTCCCAGGGTCAGACCTTTCCCAGCATCTGTGCGGAGCATTTGCACTGAGGAGGAAGGGGATGTGTCTGGCTCTTCCTCTCTCGGCTTTGTGATTTCTCTGTTTGGGCCACAGAGGGCTTTGCGGGAGAGGAAGGATGGAATCGTGCTCTTTTTTTTTTTTTTTCCACCCACTGAATATTCATCAGGTGATGGATTCTACCTCGACAATCAGCCCAGGGAATAAAAATAGTTTGCAGCCAGCTTTCTGCCACAGACAGAGTTCCGAACCATTGTAAGGTAGACTTTTTCCTACTGGGTGAGTGTGAGACAGGCAGCTGTGATTTCCCCAGATGCAGCGCACTTTCAGAGCAGATGGCTGTCACACCAGCCCCCAGTAAGTGGCAAGAGTGATTTCACTTCCTTTCCCTAAAGGTAACCGTCCTCATTACTCTCATTACCGAGCTGAATGAACCTTGGGTGCATAATAGAATTTTCTTTAAAATATTCATCATCTGACAGCTGATATTTCAGCCATACTTCACTTGAAGACAACATCGGGAAAAGGAGGCTGAGCAGCACTGCTCAATTAACATAGTATTTTGCTCACCTTCTGAAACGACTTTTCAAGTCCACGTCATTAAAAATTCATGGCACCATGTAACATGTTAGTCTCCCTGAGCTCCCCGCGCAGGACGGAGGTGGCCTTGCCGCACATGCGGCTTCACCTACATGCACACAGCAGCTGGAGACATCCGGCGGTCCTGCCAAGGGCAGATGGTAACTCCCGCCTTTCCACCTCCTGCTTTCCCCGTGCATCACTCTGTACAAAGAGCAACAGCACCTCTTCCCGTGCACTGCGAGTGGGCAGACGAGCTTCTCCGCAGTTCCCAGACAAAGGGGAGGCTGAGGTCCACAAGCGCGCATTTGAGACATGCAACTGGGAAAGGCTGGGTTCACACTTGGGTTCACATCCAAGATTTGCCATTTATTTCTCTGACCCTCACTTTCCTCATCTGTGAAATGCAGAGTGAGCACTGGGAATGGCAGAGAGCAGAGCCAGACTGCAGTGCGGGGAGGATCAGAGGCACCTGAGGCCTGACGCCCTAGGCAGCACTTCCGGCCCGGTTGGAGCTCCCCAGGGCCGGCACCTAAGTCCTAATCGCCTCTGTGCCTGTGCTCAAGACGTGTGGAACAGGAAAGAGGGGCAGCAAAAGCCGTGTGAAGAAATTATAACTATATACAATTTTAACTTTCCTAATTACTTATTCTTCATATAATTATGTAATGAAGCATTATCATTATTCACTTATCAACCCCGTGATTATGATAACTTTGGAATATAAAAGAATCATAAAGTGAGTAGAAACCAGTCGGTGCCAATACAATCGTTTTAAGGAAAGTTTTAACAGGAAACTGACAAAAGTAAGTTGTTCTTCTAATTCCTGCTGCTGCCAGGTCCCAGGCAAGCAGAAATTGCACTTTTTACAGGACAGCAGCCGACAACAAAGCCTAACCCTGTGGACCTAAGCTAAAAACAAGCTTGATCATTGCATCCCCATTGCTAATGGACATTTGCCCAAAGCCCCTAAACCAGTCCGTAATTTGAAAATCTTTGGTTTGCTTGTCTTTTCTCGGTTTGCTGAGGTTCGGCTTTGTCTCTGCATACCAACACTCAGAATCTTATTCAACCTGATCCAAACCACTCTGGTCTAGAAATAGGGCTTGAAATCTAGCCAGCTGGGGGTTTTATGCAATATTGCCAGTACTTCTGCTTTCAAAACAAGGTGGTGGAAAGAAAACACCAGACCAGCCCTACAGTGGTGTTCCAGAACTTTCCCAGTTTGGCCTGGACATTTTGGGCCTCCTCAGAGAACTGTTCTGAGGTACAACCAAGAAAAATAAAAGTAATACTGCTTCCCCTTTGTTTAATATCTGATGGTTTATTCCTAGCTAATGTGATGAACTATTATTCAACAGGCCATATGGTATGGTGGTCATACACAGCCTCCAGAGCCAGATAGTTTGGGTTTAAACTTTCACTCACTCTCAGTTTGGTGATGTCCAGCCACTACTTAAACTGTCCATGCCTCTGTTTCCTCATTTGCAGAGCAGACCTACTACTATCACGTACTTCACATAGATATTTGATTTATTGAATTAATATAAGTATTAGCCGTTGGCACATATCAGATAAGCTTTTGCTATTATTATTGACTAGACTGGGTCTCAGTGTCACCTTCTCACATGTGCCATCTAGACAGAATGACCTTCATTGTTCATGCATGGATATTTTGTATGCCTGGTGAGACTATACTTCTTAAGGGGAAGGGTAGTGTATTCGCCAGCTTCCTATCTCTGGGACACAATAACGACACCTACAACTTAAAGGAGGACAGGTTTAATTTGAGTTATAGTTTTAGGGGACTCCATCCATCCATGGTTGGCTGGCTCCAAGGCAGGAATGTCATGGCGGAAAGGTGTGGTAGAGCAAAGCTGCTTAGTTCATGGTAGCAGGGAAGCAGAGCAGGGGAACAGCACCAGAGAGGAAGGGGCCAGGAAGCAGGAATAGACCCAGGTCACTTCTCCATGACCTACCTAGGTACAACCGAAGTGTGCTTTACTAATCCCCTGGGCAGCTCCCAAACCAGTCAACACCATCAAGCTTAACCATCCTAGGTACTTTATTGTCCTTTTGGTCCCTCACGATACCTACCACCATGGTAGATGCATAGTAGGTGATTAATAAATACTAATGGAGGTAATAAGCCAATTTTAAATCCTTACATTGCCATGCACCAATTCAGAAGTCTCCAGTGATCTCTGTTGCTTGAGAATCAACCCTGACCCAGGTGGCCCGGTCTCCCTAAAATGACAGAGAATTCCCTTTGCCCACCCTTTCCTTGACCCAGCTGATTTGTTCCCAGATCCCAGCTCTGGATGACATTTCCATCCTCACTTCCTTGGCTTGCTTTTGTCCTCCAGCTGGGGGGGATGAGTCTTTTGTGCCTGCTTCCTCCTGCACCACTTCCTCCTGCTCCAAGTTGCTGCCCAAGTCCCCGGGTCAAGCAGTTACCGTCCTCGTCTCTTAAATCTTAGAACTGATCACTAAAACATCAAAATATGATGTGTGGCCCATCATATTTATTCTTTAGCTGATTATCTTCTTGATAGGTGATAAACTCTTAGGGCTTGCAGACACGGCCAATCTGACTCACCATCTTGACCCCTAGAATAGCACTGGTATAAACTAGATATATTAGCTGTCTGCTGTTGTGTAACAGATCACCCCCATATTTGGCCGCGGAAAACAAAAATAATCACTAATTACTGCTCACAGTTTCATGGGCTGGGAATTCGGGAGCAGCTTGTCTTGTGGTTCTGGCTCAGGGCCTCCCTTGAGGCTGCTGCAGATCTTGGCTTGGGCACAGGGATCGGAAGACGCCATGAGGGCTGGAGGGTCTGCTTCCCAGGGAGGTCACCCACTGCGTTGGCAAGTCAGTGCTGGCAGCTGGCAGGGCCTCCCCAGAGGGCTTCCAGAGCCTCCTCTCAGCAGAAAGCTGCCTCTGCCCCCTTCCAAAATAGGACCCAAGACCAGGGCAGGAGCTGCAGTTCCTTGTGCCAGCTTTGGAAGCCAATCAGTGTCAGAGCATCTGGCTTCTAAAGTCAGTAGTGACTGCTGTAGGATAAATGCCTTCTTAGCTCATCTATGCAAAGAACCTGTCTTACCCCCTTTTGGTGTTTAGCACAGCACACAAGGTCTAATAAACACTCAGACCTTTAATGTATTTGCAATTAATAAAATGAATTAATAAAATGAATATTGTCAATATTTTCATAATCAGCCAACTCATGGCTTAATTTTCAGGTTTTTGTCAAACAGTAATTTTATTCACATGAATAATGTTTGAGGAAATAGAATTCCCATTTTGAAATTCTTTAAACAAGAACAGAATTTTGAAGGGCCTTCAGGAACCAGTTGAAGATAATCTCCTTTAGCTACTGAGCAGAACGCTTTGTAATTTTCTTATTTAAGTGTTATGTCTACTTGTTTGAGGTTTTCATTTGCTTTTGTTGGCATGCACTCTCCGTTTCTAGACCACCAGTACTCTTAAAGATCAAAATTAATTGCTAGTTTTATAGTTTTATATGTCTAAATGCTAGGGGTGCCAGATTGTTTCAAAATGAAAACACATCCAAATTTAATGAAGTTCAAAGGAAGAAATGTTTATTTATGGATTAAAGCATAAAACGATCTGTTGCTTGTAGTCCCTGAAACTGTGACAGCTTGTCCTGGTGGGTGGGGGGAGGGCGAGCGAGAAAAGCACAGGAGAAAGTCCTCTGTC